CTTTTTTGTTCTTGATACTAAAAAAGATCCATCTCTCTTTTTTTTTTTTACTTCAACTTAGCCTTTCCTTGATGCAGCAAAACTTCCCAGAAACTTTATACACAATATTCTGATATCCATTCTTTCAGCATGTCCATACTTCATAATTATGCAAACAAACAATTACAAGAATGAGTTACTCTAAGGACATCCATTCTACAGAACAGCAGATATTCGATATGCAGGAAAACATAATATAACCCTTCTTTCTGTTAAAAGATAACTGTTCTCTTCAGATAGAACAAAGGAAATAAACCATTTGACGATCACCTATGAGAAATCTTACCAGAAAAGCTTCCTGACCAGAACATGAAAGCAACTGTTACTAAGAAAATCACCATAAAGGACTGACCTTCATATATGGCAGGTTTATCCACTTGGGAAGTGATTCGCCGGTATATCACATTAGCCCCTCGAATAGACTTGCTTTGTTTACTATAAAAAAGTATAAACTTGAGCATGAAATACCGGAAGCCTTCATACTTGGGTTCTTCAACTCTGACTGGGGAGTCTGGTGGCAAAGCTAATGAACCAGGTCTGGACAAGAACAACCTATCCAAATTTACCTATTGAATATTTTTTTTTAATAACAGCAAAAATGTTACTCATTGAATAAATATGAACTCAGGTTTCAGCAAGATTGGATATCCTTGCGCAAACATCAATGAAAGACATCAACATAGGTATCATAACTTTATAAGACAAGTTAAACTAATAATTAAATAAAAAAACAATCTTTATGAATTAATCTACTATATAATCTAATTTTTAGACGTACGGCACAAAGCTTGGACAGGGGGAACCAAAAGAGTTTCAGTAAAAAGTAGAAAACTTTTTTCCCGGGCAAAGAAAAAACAATTTCTCTATCTAAATCACAATGGAGATAACTCTTGACTAGTTCTGTTTTCAGGAGCACACAACCTACATTATTCAATCAACAAGCCTAAATTTAAAAAAAAAAGGGTAACAAGTATATATTTGCATTAATGCTAATCATGCATTCTTACCAGAGACTTTCTCGCGAATTCCTTTTCACCAGAATCAGGGGGAGCTGGTGCCAAAGTAGCAACAGTTTTTGCGTAGCTTTGGCGAGAAATGGCATAGACATCTTTCCGATATTCCACGCCATTTAATGACACAAGCTTTGAGAGACGAGTAACAGCTCTTGTCCATCTTGGTAACATCCTCAGTTCCCTAGTAAACTCCAAAAATCACCATTTGCAACATATATGTGCACAAACGTATTTTCATCTTACTGGTATCATTAAACTAAGGTGACTACACATAAGCATTGGATCAAATGCAATCTATTTGAAGCATTTTAAGAATCCACTAGCTCGGCTGACAGAAAATGCGCAGCGAGTAGCAATCAAAAGAATAAAATTGAGCATGAGACTGAAAAAAAAAAGAGCTTTCTGCCTTTCAAGTGGCTTATTAATCATTTAAACGAAAACACAACTCTTAACGAATAAAAATAAAGCAAGAGAAAAAGAAATTTCTATGGTGAAGATTAAACCTCGTATAATAAATTAAATTGGCTCAGATGAACAGCTGGTCGGAGTTGCCAATGGTGATAGAATTTGGGATAGTGGCAGTGAAAACCGATCTAATAATGGGGGAAGCTTTGCCGTGCTGCTACGCACTGCCCCGCGGTGTTAGACTGGGGTGAAGGTGTGCGACCAGGCGAGGAAAGGGATTTGATACAGCCCTGCAACTCGAAGAGGGAAAGTAGATGGAGGAGGAAGGATAGTGAAGAAGAAAGGGTTTTCCGTTTAATAAGTATGAAAGTAATTATACACACACGCAGACGTATATATATGATATCCTTAAAAGAAATTACACTGATAATACGTTAATTATTTTAATATAAAGAAACACAGGCTACTAAGTTATTTCAGAAATTATTTTATTATATATATTCAAATATCTCACAAATATTGCATTACTTTAAAATAATTTACATTAATGAATAAAATTTAAGAAATAAATATTTTTAATATTTTATTAAGATTAAAAGTTTAGTATCACCTCAAAACTCAAAGAAAGTTTCAAACTTGATCTCAGCTTCCAATTAATCATATTTTTAATTTTAGTCATTTGATACATAAACATATTAACTTTGATCGTGTACTCAATTCTATAACCATGAAATTTCATTCTCACATATTAAGTAATAGATTACAAATCACTTAATAACTTCAAACAGGTTTTCTTCTTTTCTTAGCATCAAAGAAAAAAAAAATATTATTATTAAAAACCATTTTGGTACATAAAAATATTTTTTAATGTTTATTTTATTCATAGAAATATATAATTAAAGTTGATAAAAAATATTTGAAAATTGCTAGTTAACATATATTGTTTTGTGAATGAAATAATGTAAATATGTAAAATTAAAAATAAAAAAGAAATAACTTATTTTCTCCTTCAATACTTGATATGTTATGTACAAATATCTTACCTACTTTATATTCAATCTCAAAGTGTTTTGGAACATCAACAAAGTTTACTCCCTCAGACTCCGAAAAAGCTGATCCCAGCATATTGTGAGAGTAAATGGCTCAAAATATTTTTATTCATTTTCAATTTTAGTTAATTACCATTCAGACTTTAGAATTAAGAACTTCACATTTTATTTATTCGTTCAGTTTATTTGGTTAAAATAAACTGCACTTGTCACTTATAATAATCTTCATCCTCAAAATTTTAAAATTAGATAACCAAATAAACTGCACTTGTCACTTATAATAATCTTCATCCTCAAAATTTTAAAATTAGATAAAAAAAATTATGTTTTACAAGTGCTCATTTATATGAATTCATGTTTCCATTAATCATCTGATAACAATCCCACCTTGTAATCTTCTTTGTTAAATCAATTACCATGCCATTAAATTTTTGAGAAGATAGCTTTCACCATGCTACTTTGGTTAATTTTAACAAAATAAAATAAATATATTTAAAACTGTTAGGAACGGAAAATATATTTAAAATCCTCCACCAAATGGGTCAGCCAAAAAACTGGAAATTTTGTGATCTTCGGTGCTTGTGCAAATTTAGCTGTGCAGCAATCTGCTGAACAAGTCCATCTATATAAAATAGTGGCAGTGAACAGTTTGTTTAACGACTGCTAGAAACTCATCGAACTGCATCTATATAAACTCCAGAGATATCAATCCCACTAATACGATCGTTGAAAGCTAGATAATCATCCTGGTGCTTTGGATCTTCCCTTTTTTTTTAAAGAATAAATTACCGTAGATGTCAACTCCTTACAGCTAAGTCAATTAAGAAAATTTAACAAACACAGAATATTATTTTTGCAGAATTCATAATAACTCCCTGGTGTTATATTTCACCTAAGCCAAACTCCACTATTTCCACAGTTTGCTACTTATCGCTAGATCTTTCTTTCAATTTTTGATATATTTCAATTCACAGACACATATCAAGTCAATCATCTTACTAGTGAACTAACTTCTAGCATTCACAAGTGAAGTTTAGGATTCTAAGAACAGTCATAAAACTAACAAAAAGAAAGAAAAGACGAATGCAAATCAAGTATTGTGCATTTGGTATTTCTCACGTGATCCTTGCTTCAGAAAATAAGATGCCCCTTGAAAGGACGAGGGTACAAAACCAAAACCCCAATGTCATGACATAATGTACGAGCAAAAATGTTACCTAAACATTAATCCGTTCCTATGAAAAAAGAAATCTATATGATACAGACGGTATCAATTTTGGAAAACACGTGCCTCCTCATAATAACCTACCCATCCCAGTTTAGTAATGTATAACGTCATTACAAGGGCCGCCCAAACCCAAGAACTCCTCATTACTATCATCTAATCCACAACTAGCTCTTGCCTGTTTGCCTCAACACTCTTTACACTAGTTTTCTCATAATTAAATTTTGGAGAGAAGAAAGACTTAATACAAAGACCCTAAATAAGCTGAATGGATCTGTTGAAGTACCTTAGCCGCAGCACATCATAGATATTGTTGAAGGCTTTCACCGCTCATCAACTCCATTTCCTTGATAACATCTTGTGCCAAGGATTTTACCGGCAACTCCACATCCTCCAATAGTTCACCTAGGAAGGGGATTGTTTCAGGTATAAGCACAAGATATTCTTCTTTCAGGCTATCCAAAAACTGCTTCATGATCCTCAGACCCAAAATTCGAGATCGCATCTTCTCACTCCGAGTTTGCATCAGCACCTAAAATATTATGAAATATGCAAAAATATCATTAGCAGTAGTCTAATTATGCCTATAGCATATTCGAAAAAATTGATAGGCAAAAGAAAATACCTAGAAAGTTGTGAGAAAAAGGAAATGATGGGTTACAAATATATGTCTTTATGCCAAGGCTACACATGACTACCTCGACAAATGAATATGAATGTTATAGAATGCAGGCAAGAATAAAACGGGCATTAATGAGATAAAATATTTATCAATAGGCTTCCAGATGACCAGATCTGAGAACTAACAAACGAAGCACCCAGTCATGCATCTCCTATAACGATAAGGATTTCTAACAAATCACAAGCAGTCAGCATATTAAACCTGAGAATAACGTGCAAAGCAAAGAAAATTATTAAAATGCTGAAAAAAGCAGATGGATAATAAAAAAGATTCCACAAATTACCTCATGATTTAAGGGTTTCCATAGAAGGTCAGATCCAGCACTAACTGCCATTTGACCAATACAAACAACCAACAAGTCATCAACTTCCTGAACAGATGGTATATATGGATGCTCTTCCAAAGACGCTGGTGGTTCTGCAACAATCTGAGAGACAATAGGTTTCAATAGAACCTGCAAAATATGTAAACGCAATCAATAATACAAATACCAACCAAAAGTGCACTAACAGAGCAACAACATTGAGAAAGAACACTTCCATAAGAGTTCCTTTGTTTCACACTTGAAAACATCTTCATTACAAAATAAACAGTCTAGATAAATTTAAGATGCCAAACCACCATAAAGCTTAACTAAGGTAGAAATACCCTTTTTTAGAGAAAATTTTGGAAAATATGGTTTCCCTCTTTTAGTATTTTAACATGGGCACTGACAATCTCTCGTGTCTAACCATATTTAGATGGAACAAACTGGGAATGATACAGGAACAGAAAATTTTCCGATACAACCTACAGTATATGGTAAAGCAAGTACACAATCAGTAAAATAATAGAAAAGATAAAACATTAAAACCAGAGTTTTTGGAGAAAATAAGTTGGCCTGAGAAAGCTGTAAATTATATTACTAGACACCAGGTTACACCTGTACGTCTTACCCTGATACCCAATACCTTTTTGATGGACTCTTAATGGAACAGAGACTGACATGGGTTATACAGCAAACAATTCATCACAATAATCACTTTGGACAAATGCAACCAAGTCACAATAAAAAAAATACTGTACGCTTTAGGTGCCACAAACGATGATTGTGAGTCAATAGTGAACCAACAAAATTAGCTGGCTAGTAGAGAATATGTTAAAGTTTAAAAAGGAAAAGATTAAACTAGCCTGAAAGCTTGAGGAGTCAAGAAACTTCAGGTTTCCAGTATCATAGAGAAAGCATTTGTGTAATGATGATAACACTAGCGCCTTGAGATGCCAATGTTTTACTGATAGCACATCGTTTCCTTTTACAATATTGCCTAATTCCTGAATCTTCGCCTTCTTTTTCTTTCGAATAAAAGCGGAGTTTTTGGTATCTTCTGCTTCAGTAAGATGCCGCACACAGCCCTCAAGCAGATATTTGAAGTAGGGGACAAAAAGAGACCTGCATTATATAATACCAAAGCATATTAGTCCTAAATTACATCCTCCCCCCACCCTCTGGCTATGTTTATAAACTGATCCACACGTCGACCTATAAAAGTTCTATAGTCAAAAAGCTTTAGTTGCTTGTAAGAAGGAATATCAAATAACAAACCAAATTTTAAAAAGCCAAATACAGATCAAGTTGTTGACTCACCTATGAATCTCAGCAAGTTTATTGACCAAGACATGCAAAGTTATAGCCCTATCTATACTCTTGATTCCGGTATCAGAAATGTCTTCAACCTCTGATTCTGCCCATTCAATACTCCTAATAAAAAGAGGCTTGAACATAGTCTCAGTAAGTTTCATCGTCAAAACAATCATTGCATTGATAATACTTCTCTCAACAACATCAATATTCTTAATTGAGACAGGGTGTTGACGTCGAAGATCGAGGGCATGCAAGCAATGATCAAAAATCTTTCCATGATAGCTGCCAACAGAGGATCTATCCATTCCACCAACCATGTTAGCTACCATTTCAAATGAAATAGCCAAGCTTGAATCCCCAATCTCAACAGCCCGAGAGTATATCTTTAACAAAGGTTGTAGAGCAAGTCGAACCTAGAAAGAGACCAGATTAATTGATACTGTTGCAATAATTTCGATAAAAAGTTGAAAACCGAAAGTTAAACATCTATTCATGCACACATGTAACACGCACGCACGTGCAACTTACTGGTATTTTTTCAGTGAAGAACTTGCGTACAACATCAGCTTTCACCTTAAACTTCGCATTGTTTTCTGAGACATATTCAGGATGAAGCACCAAAAGTTCTATTATGTCTCCAAGATATGGGCTTAATAAACCTCCAACTTTGTCAATAACTGCCTCTAAAATGACAAGAACAGACATCCCAACAGATTCTTTTGAACTTGCATCATCATTAGTTTTGCCTCCTAGGGGAAAACCCAAATACACGTCACGGGATTTAGCAATCGTATTCTTCATTATGCAAGGTAACTCAGGAAGTGCCCTCAGTCCAAGCACATTGATCAAAGCACCAGTTGTTCGAAGGGAGCTGGAAGAGACCAACACATCCTTGGAACTAATGCATTTTGCAACAGATGCAAGGCATATGCTGAATATTGAATGATTAGAAGGAAACCTAATTGCCAAAACCTCCAGTGTTGAAACTGCTAATGCCAAGGAAGTATTGGACCCATCAGTTATATTATCAACTAGTCGAACAATTTCCAAACACATACTGCCAAAAGATTCAAGAGCACTCTGATCCAAATGGAACCAGTGATGACTTGAATAAGTATTGACCACGCTTCTCCACTTATGCTTTGGCTTAACTGGATCATTATTTTTCACAGTATCACATAGAAGTCCAAAAGCCTGTTACAAAGTATAACTTGCAATGTTAAAGCAATTCAATAATTGTATAAGATCTATAGCCCTATCACCACTGCCTTTGATTCTACAGGTAGTCAATGTTCAGTACTAATATTTGTACAACAGTGATACTATAATCACCGTAGTCGGGCTTCCTTTTGGCATTAAACACAAAGTTTTTTATTTGTAGCACAAGCTTCAACTTCTTGACTTCACCCATGGGGAAAATGGCACACTCACCTATTCTCTAAATAAAAAGAAAAAGTTATAGTGGATTTTATGTTAGTGTATCTCGCAACTGCTTTAGATTTTTAGCATTTTAAATGTCCCGGTAACAAGTTTCCTCTATTTAGCAGAGACATGAGTTCCAAACAAGGTTCCTAACATGAAACTGACTGATCATTTACCTTCTTTCGCACACTGCTGTCTGTATGGCGAAGCAAACTACCGATGCCTTTGAAGAATTCTGAGGGAATCATAATCGACGTTATTGTCCTCAAGATAGCATTAATATGTGCCTCTAACTCCTTTCTAATTCTAGACAGTTTCCCCACTTTCTTTCTTCTTGCATCAACAAACTGCAAGACAATCCGCTCCATAAGCTCCTCAAGTTTTCTCTGCAAAGTTAATCAGCTGAGAAGTTATTTACGCATGTAGAATGCAAGATAAAATCCAAAATAAGAAATTCAAGATGCCAACAAATATGGTTAAAAGAACATTAACATGCCTATCCCCTACCCACAGCTTTTTCCATAAAAAACATTACAGTGGTGACATTAAAAATGATAGATCCTTGAGATGTATCTAAAGTTTGTCAAAGAGTTGATGAATGCATCTTACCAATACTAGCTAAATTAACATAGTAATGACTCATTAGTAAATAAAAGTTCCTTGAAGTGTGAGTAACTAAAGTGTGTAAAAGAATTAACAAATAATTCTTCTAAATGTAAGCTTATAGAACCATCATAAATTTCCAATAAAAGGAAATTCTGGACACATTAAACTCTTCATGATAGATCTGAGTAGAAGCAACATCTATAGCAATGGGGTAGTCATGGTCTTGAGGAAATAGGGATACTGTTGGTGGCGACTTTAACATGGTCTTGAGGAGAACTGAAAGATCAGGTAATAATTTCCCTCATAGTAACATTGATGAATTCCAGACATTAATAGACAACCTGGACCTCATTAACCTTCCATTGAAAGGGGGGTGATGGACATGGAGTAATCAAAGAGAGCAACCATCTTTTTCAAGAATTGATAGATTTCTCATCACCTCTTATTTGCTTATGGTTCTTCCGAGTGTCAGCCAGAAAGTCATTTCTAGGCCCACATCCAACCATTTTCCCATTTTGCTATCCTCGGATGGAATCCAGTGGGGCCCCATCCCCTTCCGCCTCGGTAACAAGTGGCTAAAGCTCAATAGTTTCAAAACTTTAGTTGCGGACATTTGGAACAACAAAACCATTAAGGGCTCAATTAGCTTCAAAATTGCTCACAAGCTCAGAAGAATCAAGCTGGAAATTAAGACTTGAGCTAAGGCAACTGGAAAAAAGGAGGAATGTATTAACGACATTCTCTTAGAAATTGAAGTGCTGGACAGAAAAGAAGACAGAACAATGTCTCCGCTGACAAAGAAAGAAAGAAGGTACTGAAAACTGATCTGGCTAGTAGAATGCATATGGAAGCCATTTCCTGAAAACAAAAATCTAGAGAAAAGTGGCTCAAAGATGGAGACAGAAACTCCAAATACTTTCACATGCTTGCAAACCATAGAAGGAGAATCAACTATGTTGAGGAGCTCATCATTGGTAATAATTGTATCAAAGGTAATGAGGCCTTGTATGAAGGGGCAAAGAAACACTTCCAAAACTTATATTATGAAGATTCCAAATTCAGGCCGAAACTTGATAATCTCTCCTTCAACAGCGTCAATGAAAGGGAAAAGGCCCAGCTTGAGGAAAAATTCACAGAAGAAGAAATTCTTGACTGTCCCCGAGAATGTGATGGGGACAAAGCCCCGGGGCCGGATGGTTTCAACATTAAGTTCTTCCAAACTTTCTGGGATATCATCAAAGGTGACATCTTTGAATTCTTCAATGATTTTCGTAACCACAGCTCCTTTGTTAGATCTCTAAATTTTTCTTTTCTTATAATGATCCCAAAAAAATTAATCCCAAGAACATAAATGCCCCCATTGGTCTCTTGTATTTACAAATTGCTCTCCAAAGTTTTGGCCAAACGACTGTCTAAGGTGCTTAACCACATCATCGGTGAGTGACAACAAGCCTTTGTGTTCGAAAGAAAAATCTCTGATGCCATCTTGATTGCTAATGAGACCGTGGATGAAGTTATTTGACACAATCAGGAAGACATTTTATGCAAACTAGATATGAAAAAAGCTTTTGATCACGTTAGTTGGGATTTGATTGACTATATGTTTCAAAGACTTGGTTTTGGATCAAAATGGAGAGACTGGATCAGAATTTGTGTCACCTCCACCAGCTTCGCTTGCATTGTCAATGGCGGGTCCTCCTTCTTTTTCACTGCCTCCGGAGGTTTGAGGCAAGGGAGCCCCCTTTCCTCCCTTTTTTTATCATACAGATGGAGGCCTTGAGCAAACTCATTGAAAAAGCCAAGGATTTGAAACTGCTAAAGGGGATTACTGTTGGCAGCAAATGGAAAAAGACACGCTCATTTTCTGCCAACTCGAGATCCGCTCTCCTATTTTTTAGATGCATTTTACTCTGTTTTCAAGCTGCATCTGTGCTGAAAATTAACCTACACAAATCTGAGTAGGTTGAGCTGGGAAACGGTACTGCTGGTGACTCTCTTAAGCAGGTTCTGGGCTGTACTGTCCCAGCTGCCCATCACCTATCTGGGCGTCCCGCTGGGCACTAAACATAATAACAGCAAAAGCTGGGACCCAGTGGTGGATATGTTTCATAATAGATTGACTACTTGGAAGAGAAAATTCCAGTCCAAAGGAGGAAGACTGACCCTCATTTAAAGCACGCTTTCAAATCTACCTATATACTGCCCATTAGTGCTTAATATCCCATCCAAGGTGGCAAAAAGAACCCTTGGTGCTCTTTCAATGAATTATTCTTGGTATCCAATGAAACACAAATCTTTTGATGCAACAAATTAAAATATCAATAGAAGAAATATGTAAGAGCCTTGATCAGAATGACATATAATTTTTGCAGGTATGAGAGAAGTTCAAATTTTAAAACGCAGAGATACCTGGATGTCATCTGAATCCTCATTTGATTCAAGTTTTGCAGCCAATTCTGGACCTTGCAATTTTTGTATAATGAAATCCATTGCAAGTAGTAATTCAAGGTATAATTCTTGACATGGATTAGCTGTTTCAATTTTCTGGAGAAACTTCACAAGAGAATGAAGCCATATCGAAGATGGATATTGCTCGAGTATTTGCAATGCAAAGACATACTCCCACTCTCTCTGCACAGGACAAGTGAAGCTGTCTGAGGTGCCTGCGTACTCGAGGCAAGATGATCCTTTCCTCAAAACTAAAGAATGGGAAAGAAGATAGAGCAATGAAGCCAAGCTATTGCATTCCCCCAACGTCCTACAGGAGAAAAGCAATATCTGCTCAGCCAGAAACTAAAACCGACAGCAACCGAATTAAGTTTTAACTTCAGTAATACCTCAAGAGATATACAACAATTGATAGCCTTCTATGCTCTGCAACATCGGGCAACACATCTACAAAAGTCTGAAATAAAATTCAACATAATCAAGATCATTTTCCAACAATCCCACTCATGCAGCTCTCGGGAGAACTCCAATAAAATTACCTGTAATAATTCATCAACATTGTTGGACTTAGACAACCAAGAGGGGAGAACTGTGGATACAAGCTCCTCGAATATATTCTGAGAGTGGCTGTCGATCTAGAGAAAGAAACGAGAAAACAATGATAACCAGTAAATAAATCGTATATGAAAATATCAAGAATCATAAAAATTTTCTGAAAATATGGTATGGAGATCTCTGCCTCTAATGTACTGAATTTAGGAAACTATCAACAAACAAATTGAATAAAAAGTACCTTTAGGAAATTTATGAAAATCGAAACCATTTGGGAAAAAAAAGGACTAACATAAAATACCAGGTGCCACAAATATGTCGACAAACCTGAGTGACTGTTGATTTTCCAATAACAGTAAATATATCGGTCACATGCTCCAAAATTCTCTCCGGGACAATCTTAGAAACTGAAGTTAACAGAGAGAAGACATAATTGCGGGTGACTCCATCAGTCACAAAATGAGCAAACTCAACCAACATTTTTATGTCAATAACACTTGTTATGTCATCCTGCAAGAAAGATGCATTGTATAGCTAGTTTAGTACAAAATACACCCGATAGGTTGCAAAGATTAACAGAAATGACTAAAAACATATGATTGCAGGTGTAATTTGCATTCCAAGAAGAATGTTAAATAACATGTTCCAACTCCCAAAATGCATACCTTTACAGTAGTTGCATTCGCAAGTGAAGCACAAATATCTTTAAGAATTAACAACAAAGTCTGTTGCACGTAACACACTGTGCTAGAAATGGTCTGAAAAATCGCAGATGAAGCTTGGACCTGCACTTCATGCTCGCGAAGAGCACCATATACCCATGAATTTGATAGAAATTTCCCAAGAAGCTTAAATAAGGGCCCTAGAAGAGAATCCCTACAAACATAGGATGATAGAGGTTTTAGTTTTATGAAATGAAAAAAGTCCTTGTTTATAAAAGGATATCACATGGATAAATAAAAGCTGACCTGTCTGTTATGTCTTTCTTCAGCAGCAGTATATCAAGGAGAGAGCTGAGGAAATAGAGAGCTCTTTCTCCTCTATACATCAAATTTTGATGTTCTCCAGATTTCTTCTTCTTTCTTCTTCACAAAAGAACCAATTACAAGATTTTCCTGTTGCAATATTTGGGAAACAGTACGAGCTACCGTGGACCAAGAAATCTGTAACATCCAGCAGTATCAAGGAGTTATAACAAACACTGCTGTTATGAAAATGAAGAAACTAAAAAGAAACTTAGTATTTGCACTGATAGCATATTACACGCATTTCAATTTTTTTTTTGAGATAAAAGTGTGATATGTATTGATTAAGGCGCTAAGGGAGCGCCACCCATGTACAAAAGAAGAAATTTACAGATCAATCAGTATATTTACAATGGAACCAAGATCCTCCAAACTATCAAGGCTGTGACCTAAGATAATAGATCCAAAAAATGTAACTGTCTATCCTTAATAGTGACAAAATTAACCTCAACACCCTCAAAAACT